GGGGTTGGTGTTCCCACATACCTTCAGCCCTTGTCCTCCCAGATTGAAGTGGACATGTGTTTGGAAGGTGACAATATGCAGTGCATCTTGTAGATAGGGTTGCTGCACTGAGCATTGTTGATGGTGGAGGAAGTGGATGTTTGTGGATGTGGTGCCAACCAAGTGGGCTGCTTTGCCCCTGGATGGTGTTGAGATTCTCATGTGCTGTTGGAGCTGCACTCATCCAGACAAGTGGGGAGTATTCCATCACACTCTTGATTTGCACCTTGTTGATGATGGGCATGTTTTGGGGAGTCCAGAGGACTTGCACCAGGATTCCCAGCCTCTGACCTGCTCTTGTAGTAACTATATTGATATGGTGAGCCCAGTTCAGTTTCTGGTAAATTGTAACCCCCAGGATGTTAATAATAGGGGACTCAGTTATACCATCGAATGTCAAGGGGCAATGGTTAGATTCTCTCTCAAAGGTAATCCCCAGTATGTTGATAATGGGGGATTCAGTGATGTTAACACCATCGAACATCAAGGGGGTGCTGGTGAGATTCTCTCATGACGATAACCCCCTGGATGTTGGTAGTTTGGGGATTGGGGAGGGGAATAGTGACAGTAACATCACTGAATGTTAAGGGGGTGAAGTTGGATGATATACCATTTGGCCATCCATAGTTAACACAAATTTTTCAAAGTGTAGATTTTACAACAGCCTGAGACCGGTCACCTTTGCAACAATGTGAAATCTTGTTCGATTTATTTCTCCTTTCCATCCATTATTATACTGTCACTGAAGATGACATCTGTAAAACAAAACAGACAAATTCAACACCTGATCTTTTATTTCCTATTTGTCTTTGTTTTGTTCCAGTTCCTGTTGCAGGGGTTTTCCTCATCCCCCGAGCCAATAAAATGGAGGTTCCGATTGGGAGTTGTCTTGTTCTAGAGCGTGTACTAAGCCAAGGCACAGGACCCTACTTTCAGTGGTACTTCCAACAGAAAGCCTTAAGCAATGCCAGCGAGAATTACAACTTTAGCTCGGACAGGAGAGAGCTGGCAATCGAATCATTCCAGGCCCATCTCCAAGGTCGATACCAGTGTGTCGTGATCAACAGGGGTCCCGGCGGAATGATATTTAATGTGACCAGTAATTTCCATCAACCTCATGGTGCCAGGTAACTCGTTCTTCATCATTGATCTATGCTCATTCTTCACTGGGATCTGGCTGAAGACTTGACTTGAACACTTGGAAAAATTGCTGGAGAAACTCAGCTGTTCTGGCAGCATCTGTGGAGACAGAGAGACAGTAACAGAGTTAATGTTACTGGTTATAAATACAGAAAATGCTGGAAAAAAAACTCACCGGGTCTCGCAGCATCTGTGGAGAGAGAGAGAAACATCCTTCATCAGATAAGGGAGACTTCTTAGCGAAAGGATTAAAGTTCAGGAACAGGGATGTCAGGGATGTCTTGCTGCAATTGTACAGCACACCCTGCAGTATTGTATGTGCAGTTTGGGGTCTCCTTCTCTGAGGAAGAATGTTCTCACTACGGAGGGAGTGCAGTGAAGATTTCCCAGCCTGATTCCTGGGATGGTAGGACGAATGGATGAAGGGAGGCTGGATCACTGGAGTTTAGAACAATGAAGTGGGGAGATCTCATAGAAATCTATGAAATCCTAACAGGACTGGCAGGAAGGCTGTTCCCGATAACTGGGGAGTCTGCAAACAGGGAGTCATAGTCTAATTGAGATGGGGCAGGACTGAGATGAGGAGAAATGTCTTTACCCAGAGAGTGGGAAGCCTGCGGAATTTTCTGCCACAGAAAGTGGTTGGGTCCAATACATTAAATGTTGTTCAGGAAGGAGTTGGATAGTGTTCTTAAGGGCTAAAGGGAGAGAGTGCAGGGGGACAGGGGACTGAGTTGGATGATCAGCCAAGATCCTATCGAATGGGCACAGCAGGCTGGAAGGGCTGACTGGCCGACTCCCGAAGCTATTTTCGATGTTTCTCTCTGAATGACCCAGTTGCCACTGAGATGTTGAGGACAAAGGGAACTTTTGCCTTGATATATAGTGGTAGGAAAAATGAGGGACAACAATTTCTAATCGACAATTTAGGGAGAGTAGTGCAGAACGATCTTTTGAATTTTGCACCAAATAGTCTGAGTTGGATTGGTGGGATTTTGTGAATGATACAGGCTGCACAGAAACAACTGTGATGGTGAGGGTTTGGAGGGAAATTTTACAGACATGAGGGTTTCACTCCAAGTGGACAGGTGCTGGCCGGGGTTCAGGGCAACAGGGAATACTGGTGTTGACATTTGGTGAATGAATGATGTTATTGACAGGAAATCCCTCTCTGAATCCAGCACAGGCACACGGCGCTGAGATGGCAGCACTTATTGTCCCACTGTTTCTGATCCTTTCTCTCCTCGCATTGCTTCCCATCAAACTCCGGAACAGGAAACAAGGAGGGTGAGACACTCCGGCAGATAATCGGTGATCGTTCTCCAGTCACGACTCAATGTGGGTTTCAAAGTAACGTTGCTCATTTGTATTTGAGGGTGTGTGTGACAGTGAATGTGTGTAAGCGAGAGTATACTTGAATGTGAGTGTGTATGTGTGAGAGAGAGGCACGCTCTCATTGACACATACTTTCTCACAGACAAAATCTCTCTCTCTCTCTCTCGCTCACACTCACACACACTTACTCACAGGCACTACATCCACTAGCATCCAATCCCTCCACCACTGACATTTAGCAGCAGCAGTGTGTACCATCTATAAGATGCACTGGAGAAATTCACCAGAGATGCTGAGACAGCACCTTCCAAACCCTGGCCATTTTCATCTAGAAGGCCAAGTGCAGCAGATGCATAGGAACACTACCTCCTACAAATCCCGCTCTGAGCTACTCCCCATCTTGACTTTAATATATATCAGCCATTTCTTCATGTCTCTGGGTCAGTAACTCCTGGAATTCCCTCCCTAACGGCATTGTGCGTCTACCTACAGCATAAGGACTGCAGCGGTTCAAGAAGTCAGCTCACCACGACCTTCTCAAGGGGTCAAGTAGGGACAGCGGCAATAAATGCTGGGCCCAGCCGGTGACGTCCATATGCCACGAGTGAATGTACTTTGTGAGGGTGTGAGCAGGCTGAATGAGTAGCAGATGGAATTACAAGGGAAGACAGACAAAGTAATGTGTTGTGTTCGAAAGAATGGTCAGCACAGATGTAAACTAAAGATTAAAATTGGAATTATTGCTACTTGCGCATCAGTCAAAGAAACCAAATTCATTTGCAAACAGGTGAAGCCGAATATTTACAGTAAAACATTCCCATTTTTTCCCTCTCTTATTTTCTCTAGCTGATTCTTCCAACAGTTCCCGGCAGCAGAGGTAAGTTAGTGAAGTGGTTAGTGACTTGTAACAGGTTTCAAAAACAGTCCAAACAGGGTGCAAATCGCTGTGGGGTGCAAACCCAGCAATTTTACATTGTGGCAAATGTACTATTGTGTCTGACTCATTTGCAAATTGAAAGCAAAACAGATCAAATTGAGGACACCCTCCATTTGACACTGAAATGTGTGTGGCTCAGTCACATCAGTGATGGGGTTATCCATTGTCGTCAGAAGAATTGAAAAAGGCAACTTACCATCTGAATGGGAGAGAAAATTAAAAATTTATTAGTGCAGAGGGATCTGAATGTCCTTGTGCATGAATCTCAGAAATCTAGCATGCTGCTACGGCAAGTAATAAGAAAGACATTTATTGCTAAAGGCATGGAGTATAAACGTAGGGAAGTGTCACTTCAACCGTACAATGAAGTGGAGGTGCTGGTGTTCGACTGGGGTGGACAATGTCAGAAGTCACATGACACCGGGTTAGCGTCCAACAGATTTATTTGGAATCACAAGCTTTAGCAGAAGCACATAGACACAGAATTTGTAGCAGAGAGATAAACGGCAGAGAGATCAAAAGATCATATAAAGGTTTTGAGTGGAGTGTCGAATAATAAGTCTCTGCGGGTGATCAAAAGTGTTGACAGAATTACTTGTAACATTAAGAATCATTCAGCCCCCCTGATCTTCAGGTAAGCGTCCTCCAAGGTGGCCTTCGAGATACACAACAATGCAGAATCGCCGAGCAGAAACTGACAGCCAAGATCCGTACCCATGAAGACGGCCTCAACCGTGATCTTGGGCTCATGGCACGCTATGTGTAACCCCACCCATAGTTCTGTATTTGTAAAATGTTCTTCACTGTCCTGTTTTGACACCACCACCTTGATAAATTAGTATGATCTCTCTACCTTAATTAGTTTATACAGTTTTAGTTTACTTATTACTTTGGTTAAACCCTTGGCATGTGACTCTTGTACCTGTCATGTTATTCCATTCATTTGTTTGCAGCACCACCATATTTTTAAGTTTTTGTAATTATCTCTCTGCCTCATTTAATTGGATTATAGCTTCTCCCTTCGCTTGTTATTCAGCTGCTGACGTCCTATGAATACTCTGAAACTATTGGTCACTTGAAGAGACTGATTATTTGAGACTCTACTCAAAGCATTTGTATGACCTTTTGATCTCTCTGCCTATAAATTCTGCGTCTGTGCTTCTCCCTCACTTCACCTGACAAAGGGGCAGTGCTGCGAAATCTTGTGATTTCAAATAAACTCATTGGATGAGAACCTGGTGTTGTGTGACTTCTCAAATGTACAAGGCACTGGGATTTCTGCATCCGGAGTACTGTATAGACCTTTGGTCCCCTGACATGGGGAGGAATGTAGTTGCATTGGAGAGACTTCAGAGGAGTTTCACTGAATTGATTACCAAAATGAAATGTTAGCTTTATGAGGAGAGACTGGTACAATTTTCGTCTCTTTACTTGAGGGTGGTTGTAGTTGTATTGGAGGCAGTTCAAAGGAGATTCACTCGATCATTTCCAAAGATGACTGGTTTGTCTTAGAAGAGAGATTGAGCAGTTTCTCTGGAGTTTAGAAGAATGAGAAGAGATTAAATTGAGGGATATAAGATGCTAAAGGGGAGAATTGACAAAATAGATGGA